ATCGCAAATAAAAACCTTGTATCCAAGTTTATCGCAAATTGAATGCACGTTTCAAATCTTGGAAATCCTATGTACGTCACTAACATGGAACAAACAAATCATTTTAAACCAAAAATAAATACATTTACAAGGTTTTTGTTTTCACCATTACATCAGAAAGCTGGAGAACAAAAACTAAGGTTATCCCAACCTTATACCAACACACTCTGATTTTTTATTCTCATATTTTTACACCCGATGTAATAGACCTTTGATATCTCAAATTATGAATTCTGTTAGCAAATAATTTATATTTGAAATGCCAATGGTATACATTTTCAGGTAGAAAAGATAAAGGGATTAACAAACTTTATTTTGTGGCAAAAACATAATTATCTTTGCTAAAACATGAAATATGTTTTTATTTGTTCATCGAACATTTTTGATAAATAATTTTAATGTCTTGCAAACCGAGCTTCAACTACTGTTCTTTAGACACCCTGTAGTTTCTCTTCTATAATGTTTAATTTTAAATACACCCTGTAATTTCTCTTCTCTGATGTTTTATTTTATATACACCCTGTAATTTCTCTTCTCTGTGTCTGGGTTGTGTGTCTGATGTTTGAATGTTGATGGTTGGGTTGAGTTTAACAATACAATCATATATCTATAGTTGCATATCTATCTACACTTCTACAATCTACATATCTATATAGTTCTATAGTTTATATAGATCTTGATACTTATCTTTATATACATTTCAATTCTTCTCTTCAATTCTTCTATATCATTCATTTTCTATTCTTCCTTTTCATTTATCTTCCATTCTTCTTTTTTATTTATCTTCCATTTTTCCTTTTCATTTATCTTCCATTTTTCCTTTTCATTTATCTTCCATTTTTCCTTTCCATTTAACTTCCATTTTTCCTTTTCAATCATCTTCCATTCTTCTTTCCCAATTCCATTCATCTTCAATTTTTTTCCCCATCTGATATGCTCCTTTCTTATCCCTCTTCCTCTCCTATTGTTATTTTATTTTCCTCTTCTCATTTCTCTCCCTTCCTTATTCACTCTGAACCTTAACCTCTATGCTGCTTTCATCTTCTTCTTCTTCCTTCCTTCTCCTTTATCCTTTAATGCACTAATCTTCTCTGCTTCTCTATCCTTTCTTCCACCCTGACCTTCCTGGATGCTTTTTTCTTATCCTTCCTTCCTTCCTTCTCCTTTATCCTCTAACCTTCATTTCGGCTTCTCTCATATTGTTTCTTCCTCTGACTTTATGTTTTAACGTACTTCTTATTTTATATTATTTTATTTCTCTCAAGATATAATTTAAACCACAAATGCAGAAATTCTTTTAACATTCATATTCATATATTTTCACATTTTGATATTTTCGTATTTGATATTTTGATATTTTGATATTTTTCTCCTTGATGGATGTTATTAATTAGTAAGACAGAGTTAGATCTGAGTGCTGGGAAAATAGGCTTTTCCGATCTTCAAATTGTTCGATTGTCGGAACCCTAATCATTGTTCTGTTTCTGCTATAATAATTTTATAGCATCCTAACACATGGTTTTTTATCCATGATTCATGATCTATTATTCATGATCCATGATTCATGATCCATGATTCATAATCCATGATTCATGATCCATGATTCATGATCCATGATTCCTGATCCATGATTCATGATCCATGTTTCATGATCCATGATTCATGATCCATGATTCATGATCCATGATTCATGATCCATGATTCATGATCCATGATTCATGATCCATGATTCATGATCCATGATCCATTATATATGATCCACACCTGTTAAACTTATTTCTATTGTTTTGTTTGAGTTTTCAGGAAAAAAAACCCCAAAATTTATCATGAGCTTAGTATGAGGTTTCCATTGCACCATGGTATTTATCTTCTTTTTCTTTTTATTACTATTAGTATGAATACCAAATTAAAGATATAAAGAAACCAACCAAAAATAATTTAAAGGTTAAACTGTATCAATGCAAAATAACGTTTTATAACAGAAAATACTGCATACAGTCTACAGTTTTCATACAGTTAGTTGATGATTACGGAGTTGGGAGTTTATGAATGAGTGATTAAACCAGCTCAGGCTAGTTCAACTGTCTGTATTTTGTTTATTAACCTTTAATTACAATAAAGCTACAATCAAAAATACTCTTTAACTCAGCACACAACGCTGTGGTTATTTTGAGAAAAAATTAGTACATCTTTGAGCGGAAAGATTATAACTTATTTTCTCGAACCAAAATTTTGAGTAAGATCAAATTTTCGAAAGTTGTTAACAAATAAATTGGTAAAATTCCACCTTTTTGGAAAAATTTTCACATTCAAGTCTTAGTTTATTTCATCAATCTTGAGTATGATTTGCAAACATTTTAGTTGCGAAAGTATCGAAGGGAATGATGTTAAACCCTAGTGTAAGGCTGCTGGGCCATCTAACTCTAACATCTCATATTTTGATAAATCTATATGAACAAGACAAACTACCCTCCTGTCATTTCCAGCAAACATTCATTAAATAGATACAAGATATATCCATCCATCCTATCCATCCAATCCATCCTTTCCATCCTATCCATCCTATCCATCCTATCCATCCTATCCATTCTATCCATCCTATCCATCCTATCCATCCTATCCATCCTATCCATCCTATCCATCCTATCCATCCTATCCATCCATCTACATAGATTGTTTTTCCGAATGCATTTTGTCTTAATGGATTTTTGATGCAAAACTAAATTCCACTATTTTGGTTTAGATTTCATTATCGTTTTCAGATGCATCGGCCTTTAGAACTAACTTTGTTGGTCTCATGTCCAGATTAGAGATAGACGCAACTTTACAAACTTTACATAAATCCGTTATTCTCTCCAGATTAATTAATTTTTAACTCTTATATCTGATATAACAGACAAGATGAAAAATGCTGTTTCTAGAGGGAAACCTATTTTTTAGATTTTAATTAGCATCTCTTTAAATGCCCGAGTTTTACCGGTTAGAGGGAAAATACGTCAAACAAATGAAATTTCGCTTAAGATTGAAAGGTTTTATTTTATAATCATTACTCCTTCTATTAGAGAGCTTTTAAGAAGACTAGAATCAGGGGGGATGATAGTTCTCTACATGTGTGCTCAGTTAGCTGTATTGTACACTTACAACTGTTTACTAATATTGATATACATATAGTCTTAGTAGAAGTAAATATTTCCATTTATTGTTATAGCGACGATATAAGGATTTATCACTAATTGGATAATGAGATAGATAGAAAGATAAATGTTACCACCATGCAATTTCTATTGGTTCAGAATAGACACCTAACACATGGTTGAACCCTGATTGGATCAGATCAGATGCTAATGGACTCGGCATACAAGAGTGTAGAGGACCTAGGACGTAACAAAGCTGCTCCAATAATGTCAATTAGATTTATCCTTCTGTCCACGTTACATTAAATCATATATATATGTAAAGTAGCAAAATCTCTTTGTTTGTTTGTATGTCTGATCATAACTCAGGAACCCTTTGACCGATTTGTCTCAACTTTTGATTAAGGAACTCGGTAGAACTACGGGAATTTTCTTAGATTGAGTCCAAGATTTTTAAAAAGGTTAAGTTTAATTTCAAGTCAAAGCTGGGTTTCCATGCTAGTATTTTATAATACAGAAGACTCTTAATTTATTTAATCTGTTTTATTATATTTAATCTGCCTTTATTTTAATTTTCACTTTCTTAATTTCCTTCCTGTTTTCTTCTATGGCCCCTTAAACCATTATTAATATAAATAAATGTACGTATATACACCATTCCATGGTTTAGTTTATTATATATTATTATTTATTACTCTATTATACAGTACTCTACCACCTAAACATAAATAGGAAAAATACAGAATATAATTTTATTACACCAAAAATAATACAGTATCTTGTAAAAAAAGGCCATTTTAAATCGTGAACTGCAATTTTGTGCATTAGCTCCTTTCTCTAGTATTTGCAATATAGATAATCAATGGATTGTAACAATATTAGATGTTGGTTTATTTATTAAAGATACAATATTTATATTGCAGAGATACAGAGTAGGACGGATACGCGTCGGTCTTATACTTGTCAGATGTTCATTCAGCCGACATACATCAGAAATATGTATCTATCTAATAAAACAAGACGTTCGTATATATAATCCCTAGCCGGCCAAACGACTGGACCGAATGGGACGGCCACAGTGCTAATCCATTGACAATTTATTGAAAGCAGGATATGTCCGATTCACTACGGTATCTTAGGAACCTTTATCTGATCAATAATGTTGAAGATAACGTCGTTTTTCAGCCTGATCCTCTGTTATTTCCATGCAGCAGAAATCCGCAAGTTACTTTTTTAGAGAAACAATCATTGAAAAGTCTTTGAACATAATGTGGATCAAATAAAAATTAAATATTTGTGTTGAGATTAAGATTTAGTTATTGAGTTATACAAAAGTACTTTCACTACTCCCTTTAAACTGGTCTAAACGAATGGGTATGTAAAGTATGTTTAATATTAAGAAAAGCAAAGAGAATTTAATGTTCAATAATGAAATATTTTGATGCACTAAACAACAATGTGTCCCAAAAATCTGAGCACTATGTCCTTGGTTTGCCATTCTTCCTGTTCCTATCTTTTCATGTTTTCTTGTCTCGGTCCTGGTCAAAGGGTGTCATGGAGTTCTGAAGACTTTGGTTTTCATGAAGTTCTAGGTTTCCTGAGATATCCTGTTAGTCTTCTATTCTCTCCTAGAAGGGTTCTTATTACATTACAAGACAATGAATGAAAGATAAATTTTCAAGAAATAAACGAAGCACTTCAGGTGCACACACTAACTACGAGAAATACACTTTCTTTATGCACTTGAAGAATATATGACGTATGGAGCAAGGATAGAGCATGAATGGAGCAAGAATGGAGGAATGATGGAGGAAGGATGGAGGAAGGATGGAGGATGGAGGAAGGAAGGAGGAAGGATGGAGGAAGGATGAAGGAAGGATGGAGGAAGGATGGAGGAAGGATGGAGGAAGGATGGAAGAAGGATGGAGGAAGGAAGGCGGAAGGATGGAGGAAGTATGGAGGAAGGATGGAGGAAGGATGGAGCAAGAATGGATGAATGATGGAGGAAGGATGGAGCAAGAATGGATGAATGATGGAAGAAGTATGGAGGAAGGATGGAGGAAGGATGGAGGAAGGATGGAGGAAGAATGGTGGAATGATGGAGGAAGGATGGAGCAAGAATGGAGGAATGATGGAGGAAGGATGGAGGAAGGAAGGAGGAGGGATGGAGGAAGGATGGAGAAATTAACTGTAGAATAATTGCTAGGAGGGTTGAGTACATGGATTAATGGGTTTGTATAAACACAATAGGAGAGAGACCAAACATAGCTGTACCCTCCCTTCTTCAAGTAATTACATTTTCCGTGGAAACAGAAAATTCCCTAGTCCTAGTCAGTGTCCCAGTCCCTATCCTAGTCCGTGTCCTAGTCCATGTTCTAGTTTCTGTCCTAGTCCCTGTCCTAGTCCGTATCCTAGTCCGTGTCCTAGTTTCTGTCCTAGTCCCTGTCCTGGTCCGTGTCCTAGTCCGTGTCCTAGTTTCTGTCCTAGTCCCTGTCCTAGTACGTGTCCTAGTCCGTGCTTAGTCTGTGTCCTAGTCCCTGTCCTAGAATTACCAGATTGAATTGACTTGAACCGATGTTTGTAAAAGAATGGTTTCTTACTGGAGCATTTACTCCGAGACTAAACTACTAGAGAAGAAAACAAATCTTTAAAGATAAAACAAGATGTCTGACCTGGCCGTTTTACTAAACTTGCAGATTTTGCATTTGTCAAAAAAACTGAGTTTTCGCCACAAACTCAAATTTTCTATTTCTTTCTTTGCAACAATTGTCGTGTTAGATCAAATGAAATAAGTTTGAAAAGGTTTACATCTTTAGGTATCAAAGATATACGGATAAGAAAAATTGAGTTTGTGACAAAAGGTCAATTCCTTTACTTTATTCTTTTTTTTTTTATTTTAACTATCCAGTTTTAGAATTCAGGCTTATTGTGTCGAGGTTGCGTGAATTCAGAGACGGATAATATATAAATAAAGCTCTTTGAGTGTGATATATACAATATACAATAACCGGAGTTGCAAAGGTTTAAAAACACTTAGAAAAAAAGTATCCTGGGCAATGCCGGATACTATAGCCCTTTTCATGTTTAATAATTTATCTGGTATTTATTTATTCATATGTACATGAAATGATAAGACAAAACTGGGAATTTAATCATGGTTACCAAACTCAGTCATTACTATAGTAGTTGTTGTTTTTGTTGTAATTATTGATAGAGGTTGCAATTATTATTACAAGATTAATGGAAGTTGCAATTTTTGTAATCGGATGCAATCATTATTACAGGTTGAAATTATTGTTCCTATTGCAATATTGCTATCAGGCCCATAATTGGGTGTTTCTGTAAAAGTGAGAAAAAAAAATTTGATTTTTCAGTTTGATAATCTAACAATTTTATCTTAAATTTTTGAAATGATGCAAAGAATCACACTTTAAAGTCAATTTTGTCCATTGCTTAATTATATATATCATTGAACCGTCATCAACACAGCATGATCTAAAGAATTGAATTTATGATACATACTGGAACATATTTGTTAAATTTCATGTATCCACATATTCGAAAGAACAACAAATTGGTTCACCCTGCATACTGGAACATATTTGTTAAATTTCATGTATCCACATATTTGAAAGAACAAATTGGTTCACTCTGCATACTGGAACATATTTGTTAAATTTCATGTATCCACATATTAGAAAGAACAACAAATTGTTTCACCCTGAATGAAAATCTTACCCCAAGACAAATATTTGTCAAAGAAGGTTTAATTTGGTTGGTCTGAAGGAACAGCTTTAGTAAAGAACTGTTCAGAAATAGCTTATATACGCATAGATACGCATATATACGCATATATACGCATATATACAGTTGATGACACAAATCAAATGATTTTAGCAACAAAAAAATATTTGCAGCGATTCATCATTTTCTCCTTCGTACTGTCGTGTATATAAAGCAGAAGGCAGGACGTAGGCATACTCTAGATTTTAAGTTAGATAGTTAAATTAATTGACCAAAGATGGTGCTAGAATCTAGTTTTGATTGAGCTCCCTCCTGCTATCTTCAATCTAACTGAAAACCAATTAGCCATACAATTTATCAATTAAAATAAGACTTGTTAATTAGACAGACCGTGAGGTATTTTTACAAACCTCTTTGTGACTTATAGGTTAGGATTTATGTTTTCTGATGAAAACTTTATAGAGAAAAAATCTTCATAAATTCGTATTTTATTACAAATTTCGAAAAAATAATTCAAGAATGATATAATCAATGATCTATAGTGATTAAAAAATATTCATGAAATAAATTAATGATAAGTTACTAAACCAATAAATGGATGTGTAAATAAATTTAACAAGTAACACATGATCATCTCAAATGAATAAATAACTGATTATTGCATGAATAGATAAATTGATGAATAAGAATATAAGATTAAATGATAAATGAATGTTTCACTTGTATGACGAATGAATGATAAACAATAAAAGGATGAATAAATAGGATGAATTAATAAATGATAAATGATAAATGAATGAGGAAAAGAAATGATAAGTGATCAAAGAATGAAAATGATAAATTGAGGAAAAAGGGTAAATAAGAAATAAATAAACGATAAAGAACTATAGGATAAACTTATGGTAAATGGATGAAAAAATAATTAAAGAAAGAACCGATAATAAACCAAAAATGGATGAACAAATGATAATGGAATGAAAAATTGATAAATCATAAATAATTGAAGTATAGACGAACCAAGGATGAATGAATGAATAGATGAATTAGATAAATTCACATATATCTACTGATGTACTACGGACCGGAAATAGAGATTTTCGGCCCCACAATATCCGCTTTTCAAAATTCAAATATCCGGTCAGTGTTTTTGCATTTATACATATCACAAATATATATGTTCTTCTAAAGTATTTGCAAAACCAGGGGAAAAACATATAGTGCTAAAGAATTAAAAATATTTATATTTCTCTTTTTTACATTTTTTAATTTAAACAGTTGCAAACACAAACAAAGGGAAGTATAAACATCAAGGAGGGAAGTATAAACAAGAAGAAGGGAAGTTTAAAAATCGAAAAGGGAAGTATAAACATCAAGAAGAGAAGTATAAACAAGAAGAAGGGAAGTTTAAAAATCGAAAAGGGAAGAATAAACATCAAGAAGAGAAGTATAAACAAGAAGAAGGGAAGTTTAAAAATCGAAAAGGGAAGCATAAACGTCAAGAAGGGGAGTATAAACGTCAAGAAGGGGAGTTTAAACAACAAGCAGGGAAGTTTCAAAATAAAAAAGTATGTACAAATAAGAATAAAAACAAAAAATGCCGAGAAGCTTGATTGTTAAATGAATGTGTGAATGACGTCCTGTGGTGCCCAAAGGCATTAAATTGAACACTAGAAAAGGGAAATCTTTGCCGTAAAAGCTAAGTCAAAGTTTTAAAAGATACTGTGATCGTGAATTGGACATGACACTCTTCAAATTATAGAAATTACATATGCATTGCCCTTTCAAGGTAAGCAAGCGGACCCCCCCCCCCCCCAACTTCTTTAGGATAATCGGACTAGAATAATTATGTTATACCATATCAAGTTGTAGAATGGTCAAATAAAGAATTAATCAATTTCATTCTCTTTGAGTGTGTGCAGGGTAGAGGGGGGGGGGTGATAAAGGTATGGGAGAGGTTAAGGAACATAATGGAAATATAGTTTGAAGGGGATAAAGGGGGGGGGGGGTTAAAGTTAAAAGAGAAAATTAATCTCGTTCTGAGCAAATATGAACTAGGATTTTAGCAAACAGGAATGCAACCTTTATAGTTTATACATAAAATGTTTAAAATTCATTTTAGGGCTAAAGGAATTGGAGTGTTGGGGGGGGGGGGGGGGGGTTGCGAAGTATGTCTTTCTACGATGTTTTTTTTCAATGATAATTGTTGGTTAGAAACTTATTATTATATCTGATTTATGCTAAATACATCTTTTCTTCTGGGAATAACGTTGTCTCTCTATTTTCTGACTTTTTTATGTCTGCAATAATATTCCGGAAGACGACTTTTCTTACAGTAATAAATAGAACACAATGGAATAGGAAGAAGACGACATTATAGCAAGAGCAAGTTTATTTAATGTTGTTACAAAGCAAATAGATTAACAAGACTTATTAAATCACTAATTTAGTTAAATGGGTCTGTTTACATAGTACATTGTACAATTACTGTGTTCATGCTCATTGGAATTTTTAAAATTGATTCTAAAAGTCGTATTCCTAGTTCAGAGATTTCTAGTTTACACCTCTCATTGTATTCATCAAGATCTATAAATAATCATTAAAAGTTATTTATTTCAAGGCAGTTCCAACAGTTATTATTGCTAATTGTCATATTTCAAGAGTTTAAGGTCGTCATTAAAGTTAAAAAGTTAAATACGACGACATTTTGTTTAGTTGTTTTACGGCACTGCCTTCCTTAGCCATGATATATACAAACATACATTTTAAACAAAAAGTTCAAACAATTTGACAAGTTTAATGACTGTTGGGGACTGCAAAACGTAATTTGCACATTTTATCTTTTTTTTATAAAAAATCAAAAGTTTTCTATGTTATAATACCTAGAACCCTTTATAGAAAGGACGAACGGAAAACAGCTAAAATGTTCCTACAGTTAAACCCTATATAAGCCATTCATCGAAAGAATTTATCAAATGTCGTGTTCTTCACTTTCTGATAATGGAATGTTGCTCGATATTTAGTTTTTTAATTAAATGATTATATGGAGCTCTTTAAAACAGTTCCCACATATTAATGGCTATTTATTTATTTTCGCAATAACCGAGATTTAGGTAAAATAGTATAAAACCCATTGAAAAATTGTCAAGACGACATTTGATAAATTCTTTCGATGTATGGCTCATTTTGGGTTTAACTGTATCTAGATCGGAGAACAATAACACCTTAATACAGAGTGTTCAAAAAAACATGGGAATTCGATGACGAATTGGATATCGTCTTTGTTATGCATTAGCATTGTAATACCTAATTCCAAAAGCCGTAATATTATTATGTCTGCTTGAGTTTATTTTATGAAAAGAGTAAAAGACTGTCTATAATGTCTCCGCAAGATAAACAGTGAAGAAGGACAAGTTTACTCTGTTTGTATACTGCAATTTTCTTGTATTACTAAGTACACCCCTATGCAGTCAAAACATAAACAAACAAAATGTGAACATAGCAGACGAAAATCTTACGGATTACAGCTTTCTGAGTAGGTATCATACTAAATCAAAGAATTATTTAAAAAGACAATATCGAATTCGTCACTGAATTCCCATGTTTATTGGGACACCCTTTATTTCATCAGGATGCAAGGGCATCTTTGATGATAACTTTAAAAGGAGTGTTCGCGAAAAATGGAAGGGGGTATAGTTAATATTTCATAATATTTTTGATTTTTTTAATAATAATATTTCGCTGGCGCTAGATTTTCGAACATTCCTGGAAGGAGGAATAAAGTAACTATCATGATCATAGAAAGTGAAAAATATTATGAAACTTTATACAAATGCGTCGGAAAATTATCGATGATTATTGGTTGAAATATCCGAATGATTTGTTTAAAATTAAATTGAGCTTAAAGGGACAGTAAAGGAAAAATGAAAGGGGGTATAGGCTGAAAGCTAATCACTTTAGCTTTTCATCGAGACCCTTGAGACGCCTATCTGAAGTATATAGTGGGCCAACCAATTAAAACAACCTACTCTGGTTAGGCGGGTCCAAACTACATAGTAAATTGTGATTTTTTTATTTGTATTATCTCGCGCTTAGTAGTTGAATAAAAATATGAAATATGAATATTTACGATCTGAGTCAGATGTTGCAACTTTCTGAATTTGTATGGACGCTACGTTCTTCAGTATAAGCCGTTTTTAACAATTTGCTCTGCGTCTGTTAGTTTGTTTGACCGATTGTATCCATTAAACATCAAAACGGCTGAACCGATTGTGCCAAATTTTAGTGTGGGACTTCACATGACCATAGCAAAGGTTTAAAGTACAAAAAAGGAGAGAACAAAATTTATGTTTACTATTTGGAAGTTTTTGTTTGAAAATGCGCCAATTCGAAAAGAAAAATAAGCCAAAATTTAAATGGCCGACTTGCAGAACAACAGTTGAAAGCTAAAACTATTTACAGGGAAGGAGGCGCTAAGCGCCATAAAAACCTAGAATATGTTAAAAGGAAAATCAAATTGATTACAATTTTTGAACAAACTCTTTTCATGTTTACACGTATATATTAGATTTTAATGAATGTCTGTTAACTGAAATAAAACAAAGTGTCTTGCAAATAAAGAATATTTTTCTTAATTATAAGTACTTTTTCAACTTAGATTAAAAAACGAATTCAGAAATCTAGATTTAACGCTCAAAGAAGCTTACTTGCCTCAAACTCTATTTTTAAATCCTTCCAACTCTGCAAGTTTGCAGCCTCTAGACCTCTAGACATCTAATTGATGAAAGAGTCAAAGTTTGATGAAATATCAAAGTTTCTTGGCTTGTGTTCAATTCCTTATTCAACATTTGTTTCTTTTTCCTTATACCTTTGAAAGTTTTCTCACGATTTTTGTTTAAGAAAAAATCTTGTTAAATTCTTCAGATTGACGTTTGAACTTTCCCCGGCGAAAATGTATTTGTCAGGATTCATTTAAATATTTGAGAAAATACAAAACATTAGAGGCCAGCAGACTCTCCCCCTTAGTCTTCAATCATGCTAGAATTCAATATGTTAAATTTTTTTACAAAAACATTTTTTCATTTATTTAAACGGGATTTTAACCAAATCTCGCCATTAAATTTCTAAAGAAATGAAAAATTAATAAATTATAATTTTTTAGTTACTAGGATCTTTTATTTGATGGACATACAGTGATAACCAGAAAACTCTGAACTAGGAAGACGACTTTACTTATTAAATCATTTATCAAGTGAAATGGGTCTGTTAACAGTGCACAATTGCTGCGTTCCATGCTAATGGGACTATTTAAAGTAATAATGTACATCTAAAAGTCGTCTTCCTTTCTTAGGGTTGTCTGGGTATCACTGTAATATGATTTTCTAGACTTATGTTGTAAAACATATTAAAATAAGTCGATGAAGAGAATATTTCAGTGCAATTCTAAACTGAATTCTTTTTAAAAGATGTTGCGGTTTTACTTTAAAGACTTTTATCAGAATTGAACCTTTTAAACCCATTGTTTACATGGCATTTATTTTAATAGAATAAAATAAAATTATAGTTCAGTTGTCAACTAGCAAATGGTCCTCTTTCATTTTCATTCAGCATTATATTCAAAGAGTTTTATTACAAAAACTAAAGTTTTGGCGTATTTTTCATCCAGCTCTGTAAAAAAACATAAAATCATTTACCCAAAACCGCACAATCCCACAAAATTCAGAAAAATCTGAAGAAAAAAATTGATAAGAAAAAATTCGTCGTTAAATCTTGTGATGCGCAAAATTGGGTATTGCCCAAGTTTACATTCACACCTTTGCACAATTCCTTTCCAGCAGTTTATCGTACATACCCCCCCCCCCCCCCCCATCCTTATCAGCGCCCAACCTTTCTCCCCCCTAAAGCGCTTCCTGTCCACACCCCTATATCCCCCTGAATGCAAACCTCTTCATCTTATAACCAGACAAGGATATGTTTAATTAGACTTTAATTGAAATCTTATTGTCTTGTGGTCTGTTGTTATCCCTGTAGTGTAGTCATAGACTAATAACAATACAATACTATAACCCTGAGGAAGAAGCCCAAAGGAGTTACGCGCATGCACTTTCTCTGTCTTGTCATTCAACGCGGCATGCCCTTAACTCCTTTGAGCTTCTGCGTCAGGGTTATTGTGAACGAAAAACCCCTTAACTGTATACAGTGTGAAATGTTATTGTCTATGGCTACCCCTGTATACAGTGTGAAATGTTATTGTCTATGGTTACCCCTGTATACAGTGTGAAATGTTAACACTATAATTGAAATGTTATTGTCTATGGTTACCCCTGTATACAGTGTGAAATGTTATTTTCTATGGCTACCCCTGTATACAGTGTGAAATGTTAAGACTATAATTGAAATGTTATTGTCTATGGTTACCCCTGTATACAGTGTGAAATGTTAAGACTATATGAGGGTCTCTACACAATACACATATTCTGAAGAGCTCCACTAGTTTAAACTAAACAATAGGAAATTCAAATGTAAACATAGAAACCCTTAAACCTGTGACAACCCCCCCCCTCCGGCCCTACCCTCCCCCCTCTCCTTGGATCTGTAAGGACCACATTATGTTACTACAGTGAGAACCAGAAAATTGTGGAATAAACGCCGTTTTTGTTCTAATTTCGTTGGTGATTTTATAATATGCAATTTAAAAAAAGCTAAATCTTTTTAAAATGTCTCTTATTTTACTTCCGCTGTTTCTTTCATGTCTTTTTATTCCGTTGAACTTACAGAGTATGTACTTTTGATTTTCAAAAACATTTGATTTATCTTTTTCACTTTATTTTTGCCCCCCCCCCCCATCCCCGGATCTTCCGTCGGCTTTTACATATCAGGTGACAATGTTTTACACCTGAAAGTATATCTCTCCTCGGTTCGCGGGTTTCTAAGAAAGTTTACCCAGATTCTGCTAACGAATTAAGTTTTTACTCCAGAAGTCGTCTTTGTATAAGTGCCATGTACAGGGTGTCCCAATAAACATGGGAATTGAGAGACGATTTGAATTGATTTCTGATATTTGATAAAATGACAAAAAAATGTACCATAAAAAGAATTATGTCTTCTGAGCTCTTCAAAATTTGGTCTGCATTCTTTGTATCCTTAAAATTGACGGAGATATCTAACATTTAAAATTTTTTTTGTTATCGGATAAAAGGGAATCTGGGCAGATTTCTCCAGACCTCCGTCAACTTTGAAAGTCCAAAAATGGTAGACCACATTTTGGAATTCCCGAGACAAGTAGTTTCAGATGTTAATTGTTTTCGCGTTATAATACCGCACGAAACAACGACGATATTGAAGTCGTCACTTAATTCCCATGTTTATTGGGACACCCTGTACAATCTGTACAAGCACACCCTGTACAAGGTATCTGTGTCAATTATCAACTATTACGTCATGTCAATTAAAGTTTTAAGGTATGACAACATTTAATAAACGCACAATCTAAAGTATAAAGAAGGAAATACATACCCTGCAGTTTATTTGTAGTCGAAACCTCCTTTTCCAAATATTTCCAACTAAAAGTGAATATCTGAGAAATGTTGAAAATGTAAATATTGAAGGGATGAAATATTTATTTAACATGGAGTAGGAGGAGGTATAGATAGATAGATAGATAGATAGATAGGTAGATAAACAGATAGAAAGATAGTAAGATAAAAGATAGATAGATAAATAAATTTTTATGTACAATGTACTTTAAACGACGATTTTTTTGCCGCTATAAGTTTAGCATAATTTCCGAAGTATCGTCGTAAAAGTACATCGTATTTAAAAAAAATATATTATGAAATAACTTTATACGAATGGATCGAATTGACATCGACATTTATATGTTGTAATATCTGATTGATTGATTTTAAAATTTAATTGAAGAATTTACGATCTGAGTGGAATAATGCAACTCCATGACGGTATAAGTCCTTTTAACCTTAAAAGTTTTAGTAAAAAAAAAGAATTTTTCTATGCCCCATTTATAAAAATAGAAACAAATATTTTAAAACAGATTTATGTTGAGTGTTGATAACAAGGAAAACTTTCAAAAATCCGGGCATCATTTTGAGACACAATTTCAAAGATCCCAAAAAAAACTGTATGCAGTATAATTAAAATAATTAAAAGACGACTTTCTATTATTCTTCTTACACTATAATAATATTAATACAACTCCCTGTATTTGTACAATGTACATGCATAAACTATTTTCTCAGGAATGTTTTCCATCATGAGAAGGAAAATCTCTATATTTAAAATTTGAAGATTTATGTTTGTTTGCTTTCAAGGTAACTTCGCTACACCTTGAAATTGTTCAAAAGATACAAATTTTTTTTATTTTTTTTTTATTATTTAAAAATTGAATTTAGTTCTTTTTACAATTGAATTGTATTTTTTTGATAAATATGCATGTGTCAGCTGATAATGGGTCTCAACCCCCATCCTTAACATGAAAATAAATCGTATGTTTGAACTGCATTTTGGGGAAAACATTAGCTTGGAAGAACGTTTTTGATTCATTAAAATACTGCAGCCAGAATCAGAGAGACCCGGAATTAATTTACAGTTAATCAGCCGACTTTACTTTACATAATACATATATATTTCTGGCAATTTTAAATGTTCAAAAAAGGCAGAATAGTTTGAAAATGGCAGGACTAGGGCTAATTAATGATTATCGTTTCATCAATCATATTAATAAAATAAAAGGCAGAATAGTTTGAAAATGGCAGGAAAGGGGTTATTAATGATTATCGTTTCATCAATCATATTAATAAAATAAAAGGCAGAATAGTTTGAAAATGGCAGGATTAGGGCTAATTAATGATTATCGTTTCATCAATCATATTAATAAAATAAAAGGCAGAATATTTTGGAAATGGCAGGACTAGGGCTAATTAATGATTATCGTTTCATCAATCATATTAATAAAATTAGATTGTAACGTCATCAGATTAATTGTAAATTAATGGCAGGATTAGGGCTAATTAATGATTATCGTTTCATCAATCATATTAATAAAATTAGATTGTAACGTCATCAGATTAATTGTAAATTAATGGCAGGACTAGGGCTAATTAATGATTATCGTTTCATCAATCATATTAATAAAATAAAAGGCAGAATAGTTTGGAAATGGCAGGACTAGGGCTAATTAATGATTATCGTTTCATCAATCATATTTTTAAAATTAGATTGTAACGTCATCAGATTAATTGTAAATTAATTCCAGGTCTTTCTGATTAGGACTGTATAAAAATAATGTATATGTAAAAAAATTCTTACTTTTAGAATAGTATTTATTCTTTGATCGGTAAAACCGCGCTTATACAACCTAGCACGGGGATGGTAGTCAAACAGGCTCTCTGAGAAGAAAATATTTGATTTTTTAGTTCTAGAGTTTTAGCAACTACAGGCTTACAGGATATTTCGCAAGCCCTTCGTACTTTACAGAAAACGACGAGTCTTTGTGGTTGCAAATCTACATGTTCATTTTATTTAACATTTAAATAGTTTTTAATGCAATTGTGTGTCGACTGACTGCACGATAAATGATGTAAAAAAGTTTCTATTTTCACCTATGTCAATGTCTCCGTATTTGAAAAATTTTGATCCTCTCTCAGACTGAAACAGGTTTACTCCGGGAGAAAACCTCTCCGAGTACTGATTGTTCGGATTATCTAATCTCAAGGAGTGATGTCGTTTTACAGGAGATACGGAGTAGAATGTCTCAGCAATCTGTGTCTGAGTCTCATTAAAACCCTATACAAAAAATGAGTCCAGTTCCCAGTGTTCAGTGTTCAGTGTTTAGTGTTCAGTGTAATGTGAGTCCAGTTCCCAGTTCCCAGTGTTCAGTGTTCAGTGTTCAGTGTTCATGTTTTGTAAATATCATTTTATTTAAGACCTAACCTGACTTTGTGACAGGTTTAGAATTGTTTCCAAGTCAAATTGTTGCTGGGCTTTTCCTTTCCAACTTTCAACTAGAAAAATATATATTAAAGTAGAAATAGAAAGACGCAACAGGGGTGTATATTATCTTTAATAATCATAAATCATTCCCCCCCTCACCTGTTGTGAAAATCATGCTTTTACCCAGAAAATGGGTGGTTTTTGGCTGAATCGGGGAAAATTAATGCTTTTAATGGGGAAATAACAAATTTTTGAGTAAAAAGTGTGAAAAAAGATTAAAACACTTGTCTCTCAACGTCCAATTTTTCACCCCCAGATCTCCAAAAATCACCCCCCCCCCACAGGGGTGGAGGTAATTCCAAAAAATGTAAACCCCTGATGCACTTGTAAAGACTAGGTAATGAGGACTTACTAATGAGAACCAACTTATCACGGACTAATCTATAAGGATTGACTTATGACGACTAACTTAGGAGGACTAATCTATAAAGATATAATAGTGACGACGCAATAGTGGGGACACACTTCTCAGAACCAGTAAATAGACGCAACAACAAGAACGCATAGTATGACATAGATTTAACAATCCATATACAGAGCGTCCCATATCATATTAGATTATCTCCAATCTTTAACACCTAACTACGCACATTATGCTAAAAAAATCTAGCATTTTCTGCAAAAAAAAAAAATCTATTAGCCTTATTAAATTTTTCAAAATGATTCATTCTTCTTAAATTTTCTGATTTGTCCCCCAAATCGTAATTTAGACCCATTGACGCGGTCTAATTTGATATATATATAAATAGGTAGATTGTACCTAAAATATCATCCGCACACATAGATTCGCTCGCACGTGACAGCTGTGAATCTGTTCGAACCAATTTTATCTGCGACATTGTTCATTTGTAAATTGTCTGAAATAAATAAATTGAATTAAAATCTGGAAGGCACAATTTTAAACATAACAACATATATGGCCTACATGTAAGAGTTCAAAAAGCACTATAATTTTGTCAAAATAAAAATTAACATGATGAAAAAGTAGATATTTTATAAACACGAATAGGTCATAATAACACATTTTAACTGATGACGTAACATTTGTAATAATAATATATCATAATAAGGTACTGAGGTCACGAGGTAAATGCAAAGGTACATTACATTATAAATAAACACAATATTGATTATTTAAACTGCGAATATAAGAGATCAAAAACATGTATAAATATATCAATAACTGAAAACTATGGAAATTCTCGTTACTGTAGGCCCAGTCGGAATGACAATGATCTCATTTTAAAAAAAAGTTCTGAACTTTGAGGCCCAATAAAAAATGAAGACACTATATTGTTCTTCTGTTTTAAGCAATATAAATACAGAGGAAACTGTAAAACTAGGCCTTCAGTTGTACTAAAGAGCAGAAGAAGTACTTAAACATTAATACAAAGGACAACGTTGTCCTTGTCCTCTGTTTGTAGAACAGATGAAGGATCTATAAAATTAAGGACACTGTCCTCCTTGTCCTCTTATTATAGAGCAGAAGGAGCTTCTATGACATTAACACAGAGGACACTGTCCTCCTTGTCCTCTGTAGAACAGATGGAGCTTTTATATCATTAACACAGAGGACACTGTCCTCCTTGTCCTCTTATTATAGAGCAGAAGGAGCTTCTATAACATTAACACAAAGTACACTGTTATCCTTGTTCTCTGAGTCCAGAATATTAATATTATCCCGAGCAGAAGGGCGAAGTGTAGGATCCTCCATGGTGGCGGCAAAGAACACATTGAAAAAAGTATCATGAAATCTTTTTTTAATATCTTGCTCATGTAGATATATATATATAATGAAGAGAAAAATTCAGTACACACAAAAAATGTCGTAATTTTTGTTTCGCAAAGTGTAGATAAACTGACCTCAAGAACCTTGGCGTAGGAGTCATCTAAGTCTAGGTGGTCAGGTAACGGAGGTCTTGTTCCTTGAATATTAAAAGATTTACATTTAAAGGGAGTGACCGGCTATGTAAGGTAGTTGAACTAAGTATGAAGTGTTGTAGAAAACTTCTTTCGGATTCATTTGAGACCTAGTAAACTTTTCAAAGATCTGTAAATCCTGAGTTTGAGCGCAAATTCGACGTTCAAAACTCCTACTCTGGGGGTGGATACGTTTTCAGAATTAGTTTTTTTTTAAATTATTAAATAATGACAACGAAAAAAATAAAGTAAAAATTATACAGTAATCCTAAGAATATCAAGTGTTAAGGATATTTAATTCCAAAGGATATTTAAATCCTAAGGATATTTATTTTCATAATATTGGAGTCCTAAGAATATTAATTTCCCAATGATATTGGTTTGTAAGATCTACGGATCTTTTCTTAAATCTTGATGTTCAGGTTGAATCCAGAAATCGTGATCTAAAGAAGCACATGAAGATCTTCTCATCAAACTCTACACTTGTTCCTACTATATATATACACAAACATTTATTCAAAATTATATATAAGATTTTATCTGAGAATTTAACTAAAGTTTTATGTTAAATGTATTTTTCTGGCCTAAAGTTTTAGATCTTCAAGCTTAATAAGCTTTTTTATAACGTCTAAGTCTATAATTTAAAGAGCCTATATCTAAAAAATATATTTAATGGTCTATATATTTCAGACCATAATGGGCTAGAATAATTGCGTTATCCTGCCTTAGTACTCCAGGTTGTGCAATACTAGGTTTATAAAACATCTTATTTAAATGTAAATGTAACACTGCCTAAAACCTTTTTTTTTTGAATTTAAGCTCATTAAAACTTATGGATGTTATATAAAGTGAATCCAGATCGTTCTTGTATTTCATCGCCTGTCCTGAACTATGAACTAATGTATTAACAGGTGAAAATACATTCCTAGAGAATTCTGAACTTTTGAAGCTTATTCGAGACTAATTACTCCTTTATCTCGTAGACCAAGTCCTCCTCTGATCTACCCACGCCGTACTCCTGGACTAGGATGATCTCTTCAATCTAAGGAGAGTCTGATAGAGCAGATTCAAACCGCCTGCAGAGTGTCTCCCTGCTGGGCACCATCGTCTTCACCTCCTACATGGAGAAGTCCTGTCGGAAGCGTCTTCCTTGCTTCTCTAAACCAGGACTGCTGCTATTAAGCAGCTAAAGGTGAAGATTAAATATGAAGCTGCTCTCAAGATGAGATCTAATGTCTAACTTAATCTTATTTAGATCTCATCACTGTCCTCAAGATTGAGATCTGATGTTTAACTCAACCTTATTCGGATCCAATCATCATCTATCCGTTCCTCCTCTCGGAGCAGTATCTGTTCCTCCTCTCGGAGAAGTCCCGTCGAAAGCATCGGTGTTTCTCTAAACCGGGACTGCTGCTTTCGAGCAGATAAAGGTATATAATCAAGTTTTGTGTGATCTTTGTGAACAATTAAAGACGAAAGTGTGACTATCTCCTCTAACACATGATAAGCCTTTATATAAACTCTCCTTATTATTTCTAGCTGTGCTATCTAAAATTCTTGAGATACTCTAATGTGATGGCATAAACATTATTTGCACTTGTCAGAAGACTGCCACCCTTTATGCACTACATTTGATGAACAACTTGTTGGTTATAATTTATTCATCTTCATCCAGTGAAAAACTAAAATATTTACAATTAATTAGATTCACAAGTAAACAATTTCTATACATCTTAATGTGTTAATTTAAGATAAAAAATTATGGCTGCACTTTTTAATCAAATAAAACATTATTTAAAATCTTAATGTGTCCATTCAAAATTGCATATTATTGTAAAACTTTTAACCAAGTAGAACATCTTTTATAAATCTAAATTTGTTCATTTGAAACTGAAAATTGTGCCCAGACTTTCAAGGAATTTAACTCACTTTGATGGTCTCTAAGTGGCTTCTTGGTATCTCTATAGATCTATCCTCGTAGATCTGGTTTAGATTTCTCTGGGATAGTTACCAGATCTCTTCTCCAGGTACTCTTCTATATAGTGGAAACATTTATTTTAGAATATTTTCCCAATCCTATAATATCACAGATTTCTCAAGGTTTACTTCCTACCTAAATAAGTTAGAAGATTTGTTTATCTGGCACTCAGTGAGAATAGGCTGATAAGTATCTGCTTATTTTATCAGTGATAATCTTCTAGCTGACTATCTAAAATATCATTCTATTAAAATGATTTTCTTATGTGGATCCTGATTGTATATACCTTGATCAGAACATATTCTGGCCCTGTTCTTCTTCGTAGTATCCAGGGGTATAGCTGATTTGATCCATTACTTCTTAGGACAGCTGATTGCAGGTACAGACAACTTATAACTAAGCAACAATAAATTATCAGTATTGACTGCTCTAGGTGATAAGAGGTATTTCTTTATACCTTCAGGGTTTGGTCTGCAGTCTCTCCATATACATCTTAGCATCTTGCTACTCAGGCTGACACATCTTAGTAGTAGACTGAGGGCAGAATAAATAGATGCTGGGGGTGATGATCTAAATCAGCAATGTTATGTTATAATCAGTTTTATAACTAGATTATTATAACAGATTTACCTTTGAAGGTTACTTTATTCCAGACTCATACATCTTAGTAGAAGACTGGAATATTTAGGTGGAAGATTGACTAACTGTACATCTTAGTAGAAGACTGGAATATTTAGGTGGAAGATTGACTAACTGTACATCTTAGTAGAAGGTTGCTCAATTGTGCTGGCTGATTATCTAAATCGGACAGAGTATTATCAGTTACACAACTAATTTACATTTTCCAATAATACCTTGATAATAACTCTGGTTCACTATTTCTTAGTAGGAGAATTGGGCAACTTGGTAGGAAGCTGATCAGTATATTAGCTGATTATCTAAATCATCCACATATTATTACTTCCAGGACTGATTAATATTGTCAGTGTTACCTTGGTGATAATTCCAATCTGCTACATCTTAGTAGGAGACTTTGACATCATAGTAGAATGATTTAACTGTTTAGGCTGATTATCTAAATCAGCAAATTCAACATACTTGATTAGTTTGTTAATTCAGTGTTAAATGATATACCTATATTAAGGTTTCAGCTTAGGGCAGTTTACCAATCTTGGGAAGATTCAAAGGTTTAAAAGTACACTTTGCAGAAGGTAGAACATTTTCCCTGTAAATATAAGGGTATAGATCTCCTTTAATGAAAGTCTGGGACTGATCTTTCAACTGATTGAATGTGGCCAGTCCTCCACACTGGTGATCCTAATTGGTGATCATTCTCTTCTCGGGTGAAGATAACAATATCTCCTGGTTTAGGTTTATACTCATCTCCTGTAATCCACTTTGACAACTTGGGGATAAAATCAGACAGCTTCTCTTGTTTCCAAGTTTGCCACCAAGATTTCTCCACCATCTCCATTTGTTCTAAAAGTCTTGATGGTTTATCAAGGGTACAAAATCCAGAAGGTGCTCGTTTATTGTTTCTACCAAACAATAATCTGGAGGGGGTTATGAGGTCTGTGTGCTCAAGATTGACATACTTTGATCCTAGACATAAAGGAAGATTATTCAATTCATTTGATGTCCATGCAAAGGCTGTTTCATAACTCATGATGTCAAGTCTCAGACCAGAATACACAGTTGTAAACAACGTCTTGATCTCTCAGATGGATCTTTCTACCATTCCATGGGCATTGTGTCCGCCAACAGGACAGGTCACATATTCAATTCCAGTCATCACCTTGGAGTTTAGAGATTTTGTGATATCCAATATATTGAATTTCATCTCCTTACATGCTTTTACTAGCTGGCTTCCTTCATCAATGTATAACTTATTAGGATGAGAGAATCTTGAAGTGAATCTAGTATATGCATCCAGAAATGCTCCAGTATCATATTTCTGCATAGCATGCACAAAAACAGCTGAAGTTGCGGGATCTTTGAACACAACACACCCATACCTTGACCTTACTACGATGATTGTGTTCACATCGGGCTTCAAAGGGACCCATCAAATCCACTTGTGTATTGTAGAACACTGGTGCAATGGTAAGTCTTGTCTCATGAATATTACCCATTTTTACCTGGACCAGCCTCTGCTTGAATCTCCTACAGTATACACAGCTTTCTCGAATTTCCTCAGCTAGATCTCTACCTCTAAGGATAAATGCTGTTTCCCTTGATTCTCTAAGGGTGGAGATAGAGTTCCTGTGGTTAGTCTCTTCCTGGTGCGCATGAATCATAATAGAGTAGGAAATTGGAGAAAACCTGTCTAAAATAGGTTTGACAAAGGTAAGGGGTGTTAGATCCAGCATGTTTTGCTCAACTGAGTGGACCTCCTGGCCATCCAAAATACGACCAGTATAATAAAGAATCTTGTCTTTCATAACTGTGCAATCCTTCCAAGCTTTTCCTTTGGCAAATTGCTCACACTTCCAAAGTACCCTTCCTGAAAAAATAGTTCTCTGCAGCTTCAACCTCTTCCTTGGAAAGTTGCAATATTAAGGAAGGGAGAGGATTTTGGTTGTTTACATTACTTTTCTTATGAAGTCTAGCCTTTATATTGTTGATGAATCTCATCACAAAAGCAAAAACACGGACTGATTTATTCCAAGGCAAGACACATGGCTCTACTATGTACTTGCTGAAAGAATACCGGTCTCCAATCTTAGAGGTTAGGTTAGAGAGGACATGGCCTCTTATATCAGGGGCTTTAAGCTCTAGAGCAGCAAGCCTTTTCTCCTCTCCAGACAAAGTTATTTGTTGTTATCTTTAGTGTCAACATGGTACCACTGTTCTTTCAGTGTAAACCTTCTTATTTCAATAACCTGGTTCCTAACAGCAATCTGCAAGGGGCGGTCATCCTGATTGATCCAATATAAGGTAATTGTGCTATCTGTTACAAATATAGAACTTTGGAACTGGTTCCCAACATTTGACACCACAAGGTGACCAAGGATTGATCCAATAGTAGCTGCTTTTAATTCTGCTCTGGGGATGGTTGACCCTGTGATTATCTTGCTTTTTCCAACAACCAATTGGCAATGGAACAAACCATTATTCAGAAGAACTCTACTATGAACACACAAAAACACCTGCAACCTTACATATCTCTAAAATGGGTTGATAAAATTGGCTTCAGATTTCAGATCTTCTGAGTTATCTGTCTTCTGAGTTGGTTACAGATTCATCTAAAATAGTAGCTGTAGAAATAGTTGGTTTTACACTAGTTATGTATAAGAGACAGCTGGTAACAATCATCCAACTCTAGAGCTATTAAATTCTCCGGCCTAATCAACTTTGTAAGTGTTATTTCAATTCATAATTGTTGTTACAATTTAATCACACTGGAGCAAATTTTAATGTAAACTTGGCTAATTTTATTTATTTGAATAACTATAATACTAATTTATTATTTATTTTAACCCGTGACTGATGTATTGTTTTTCAGTTACGGGTCCTAGCTCTGTATCGCTGTACCAGAAATAAAGAATATAAGAGACTCATGTGTATTAAAGAGGTGTGCAATGGAGAATTGATGTTGCCCCATCATGTTAATAGCTGAAAAATTCCTGTGGATCTAGGTATTGTTTCAAGGGAAAGTGCTAAAATTCCCAAAACGGGCACATGGTTTCCAAAGTATATTGAATTCCAAAGGATATATAATACCAAAGGATATTTAATTCCAAAGAATATTTAATTTCTAAGAAGTAAGAATATCAATTTCCTAATGATATTGTAGTCCTAAGGATATTTCATTCTTAAGGATATTTTATTCCAAAGGATATTTTATTCTTAAAAATATTAATTTCCTAATGGTAAAGGAGTCTTTAATTTCAAAAAATATTTTTTTCCTAATGATATTGGATTCCTGAGGGTAATTTCATTCCTAAGCTTCATGCTTAGGATATCTTGCTAAAAATACTGTTTTATCAAATTTAGAATTTACAATTTATTAAAATTTTAGCTGAGCTGGTTATTTATTTTACCCATCACTTGATCTCGATATCCACTGAGGGCACTTTTAATTTGAAGATCAGTGCATAATCTCTTCAGTTCAATTATCCCTCCCCAGATCAGTGATCAATGCTTCCTTCATCCACTGACTGGGTACGATTACGATGCGGGATATGAAATAAATATTAAATTAATCTGCAGATGAACTAGAGATTAATTAACAATACAAAAGTTCCCAGCTCTGGTAACATTTATCTATTGGAAAAGTGAACGCAAATAATGATGAAACACTAATAATAAAGCACTTCAGAAAATTCTAATTGCAAACAAACATTGAATGCAAAATATCGAGGAGGCAAAATTGAGAAATCAGTACGGGAAAGGTACTTTTAAATAGTGTTGTAAACCCTGAGTTTGATTCGGTCTACAGCAGAATTTTAAACGCAATAATTAACTCTCTTAGTTCATATCTATTAATTCAATAATTGTAATAATTGTATATTTATATTTAGGAGATTAGTATTCATCATTCGGATCCACCTCGGTCTCAAACGACAGCAGGAGCTCCACCCTTCTTAGCATCAGCAAGGACATGTGGATCAACAGTTCCACCTCCATCCTCAGATAGCATTCCTCCCTAGATATCCTCCTATGCCCCTGAGATGCATCTACAATTAATTGATGTAGGCTCTGCCAAGCAACATCTATCTGGCCCTCGATCCTTCTCCAGTTACTACTAACTACATCTATCCAGTCTCTGTCTGGCTGGAGGCCCAGTCTCATCCACAGGAGGTTGTCCTCGTCTGCATCCTCAGGCCTATCCTCCGGATCAGAGGGATCTACATTGGAATCCCCCGTCTGGGGGTCACCATCTCCTGGCCCTCTCCTATCCAGATCATTCCCTCCTTCACCCACAGACACATCAGACACATCAGCAGCAGGCAGGACCGGAACTACAACCCCATGGTCTTTATGGTCACCCTCTGGGGGCAGGGTGGTCGTAATCTCCATTAAAGCTTTAGAAACCCTTTGCGGTATTGTTAATTACTTAGCTATTTATAATATACTAATAATCAATCGAAAATTATTTATCTTTGTATATAACTTTACTAAGTTATTGGTCTTGCTTAGCGTTATAGAGCTTTTTTATTTAGCTTTGCGGAGCTATTAACTTTGCGGAGCTATTAACTTTATATAGCATGTATTGATTATCTCACTTGAAATCCGAGATAAACAATGCCACAAACTCTAATCCATCATTATTTATAATAAAGCTTTAGCAACTTTTATGGTATTTTAGTTACTTAACTATTGATACAATTATTAACAATCTAAAATCAGTTATCTTTATAAATAGCTTTACTAAGCTATTTGTCTTGCTTAATTATATAAAGCTATTTAATTTTGCTTTGCGGAGCTAAGGATCATCTTTATACAAATAGCTTTACAAAGCTATTTGTCTTATCTAGCTTTGCAGGGCCAAGGAGCCGGCTTAGCTTTATGGAGCTATTTGTCCTGCTTAGCTTTATGGAGCTATTTGTCCGGCTTAGCTTTACAGCACTGTTTATCTGGCTTAGCTTTACAGAGCTATTTATCTCATCTGGCATTGCAGAGCTATGCATGGTATTTAGCTATGTGGAACTATATATTCTAGTTCGTTGATGTAAAGCTAGATATTTCTTTGAGGATCTATATATTGTATTTAGCTATGCAGGATTATATATCCTTGCCTATCTATGCTTAGATAGATATCTATAACTTGCTATTCAGAGTTGAATATGTTTATCAGGCTATGTTAAGCTAATAGTCTGAGTTATGAATCGGTGAGTTGGGAGCTGCCCTTGACCTAAGGTAGAAGATTATATTAATATTATAATTCTTTCTACTAGTAAGGTTCTTTGTGCACTGCCGTTTCCTTTTGCTTTGATTCATTATATAGAGCGCTGGCCGCATTTTCTATATATATATATACGTAAATTCTAAGGTATTCCTAATCCGTTCCAGATTACAACAATAGGCACTATAAAGAAGAAACGTCAAGAACATTTTGAAAATCTTCTTTTCAAACATAAGATGACTAAATAGATTTACGTCAAAACAGAAAAATTATCTCTAAAGGAACAGTTGTGAGAGAAAGTGGACTAGAATTAGGTAATTATTGCTTTTATGACGCACGGCCAACTGTGCGCCCCTAGTAATTAGCTGGGTATAAACTCTTCGGAAGGATTCTCGACTTCAGATCTTACAATCTCTTTCCCAGGTACACATCTACTATTATATTTACACTTATCATAAATATTATTTCAAAAATAACTTTCACATAAAAAATTTAAACAATTATCTAAATTCCTTTAAACTTGTCCTATGTACAAATCATTAATATTATTTTGTACCTTATCTTTAAAAAAAAAGTCAAATTTTTTATGAAATTGTTTTCTTCTATTTATTTTTACTTTTTTATTTGAAAAGTATATGCCAACAAAAATTTATTTAAGAGAATAGGCAAAAAAATTGCTTTTAATAGTTCCAATTATGATCGAAAGTCACAGTTTTAAGGAATAAGGACCAAACCGTTAAATCTGCGTGATCAGAGCTGAGACCTTTAGAATGGTGGATATCGAGATCAATAATTGATCCTCACTTTTTCTTAATCTCGAGACTAACCTAATCTTGTACTTGTATCCTGAAAAGTGTATAAAATTCAACCAATCAGAGTCGCGTATTAGAAGCCGAGAAATTTTTAAATTTTGCGCACAATTTATGATTAATATACAGACACGGGAGGGACTCTCTAATTCTGAAAAAGCGGTTTTTGTGTACTGTTAACCGTTTCCAAAATAAATGAGTGGATTAGGCAAGAAATTAAAAGTGTCCACATTGGATATTCGGATTAATCAGTCGGGATTATAGGTATCCCGTTTTAATGTTTTCAGCTCTGCTTAATCACTGATTTTGTCTTCATAACAGTTACGTTTTAATCTGTATAAAATACTGTTCCAAGGCCTTTTACATTTCTTATAATTCATCTTAATAAAGGAATTTGATCTTATTCTATTTAATTTCTTTTCAAGTTAAGTTATTAATTTATTTTAAAATATAATCTTGAATTTTTTATTAATGGTACAACTCCAAAATTAATTTTTTCAATTTAATTTAATTCAATTCAAGAAGCTAGGGACTGTCCAATAGGTCCCTGATCTAGCAGGGGTACGCCATTTCCAGATCAAAGCTTTTCAGCTTGACATAATTTAGATCTAACAACGGACTTTTGCAAAATATGCGAACACTTTCTTTCGTATTTCTAACTTTTTTGCGAACATGAATTAAGCAAAAAAAATGCGAAAATGATGCGAAATTCTGTGTAAAAACGTTTTGATAAAAAAAATTCTGCAAAAATTTGCATTTGTTTTTTCGCAAAACAGAAAAGAAAAATTTCGCAAAGAAAGCAAAAATTTTCGCATTTTTCTCAATTGAATGAAATGTGAAAAATTGCTGAATTTTCGTGGAACGATTTACCTATTTTGCTACCCAGCTAGCAAAATAACCGATTATGGTTATACCGCCTCGTATATACGACAGGCTTCGCTAGAGTTGGGCGGAGCTCTGATCATCATGTCCAATGTAGGTCCTGGCGGTATAGTAAACGGCACCCACCAAGATCTGTCCTACATACGATGTAGTATTTACTACATCGCAGATATGATCTCCCACATCTAAACACTGAGATGTCGGTACCATGTAGTATATACTAAATCGAATTCTTTCTCACTGATGTCTACATTCTACATCGGGGACATTTTCACCGATGTCTACATTCTACATCGGACTCTACACTCTATATATATTTACGCTTTATAAATTAGATGTTTAACTAGGTTCAATATATGTATTGAATTACAATTACAATGTACACAAATTTTCTATAATTTCTTCAAAAATATCACAATTATTTTCATGGGTTCAAAATGTCATAAATTGAATTGGTTATTATTCAAAAAAAGGCTCCTTGGTTGGCTTCACTACAGGCTCCTTGGTTGGATTCACAACAGGCTACTTGATTGGATTCACATCAGGCTTCAAGGTTGGATTCACAATGGGGTTCCTGGGTTGGATTCACATCAGGGTCCTTGGTTGGATTCACATCAGGCTCCTTGGTTGGATGCACATCAGGCTCCTTGATTGGATTCACATCAGGCTTCAAGGTTGGATTTACAATGGGGCTCCTTGGTTGGATTTACATCAGGCTCCTTGGTTGGATTCACATAAGGCTCCTTGGTTGGATTCACATCAGGCTCCTTGGTTGGATTCACATCAGGCTCCTTGGTTGGATTCATATCAGGCCACAAGGTTGAATTCACATCAGGCTCCTTGGTTGGATTCACATGAGGCTCCTTGGTTGGATTCACATGAGGCTCCTTGGTTGAATTCACATGAGGCTCCTTGGTTGGATTCACATAAGGCTCCAAGGTTGGATTAACAACAGGCTCCTTGGTTGGATTAACATCACACAGGATAGCTTCACAGTGTTTCATGTTGAAGAGTTTGAGAGTAACTGAAGCTCATGAGTGTACTGCTGTGCGGGTTGATAAAAAATTAACAATTCAAATTTTTCATTTAGCTATATTGATCTCCTCTTTAGTATATACGACAGTGAAAACATGGATTATATACTATGGTGGTATATTGATCACTTCACCGTCGCATCTACGACAAAGGAACTACAGCGGGGATATATGGAGTATATACTATGGAGGTACATAATTACTCTGCCCTCAAACCTGCGACAGAGGAGATATATCAGAAATATGGAGTATATACTATGGTGGTACGTAATTACTTTGCCATAGCACCTACGACAGAGGAGATATATCAGAAATATGGAGTATATACTATGGAGGTACGTAATTACTCCGCCCTCGCATCTTCGACAGAGTATCTACGGCGGAGATATATGGAGAATATACTATGGAGGTATAGAAACCTCTCCGCTATCACATATAAGTCATGGTGGAGACCAAAACACGGCGGAGATCCAATGTTAGCTGGGTAGTGACCTTACTTACAACCAAATCTGAGCAATGTTACCAGTCTCATTCTAAATACCTTCTGCTAGCAATTTCCCAAAACAAATACTTATCTTGTTAAATTTAGAGACTAATAGCTTAATAAGTATATAGCTTGTTGACATTGGGATCTTAGGAGTAGTCTTAGCTGTTGCTATTATTAGCATTCACGCCTCAGATGTTACGGGTAAGACAAAATGTTCACTTAGTTTTTTTACTTTATTCCAAGTGTTTAACTCTTGTTACTATTCAACTAAGATAAAGGCTGAATTAAAAAGCAAGAATAAAACTTACTACTACTGTTCAGAAAAAAACTTTTTTTTTAACCCATTTTAATTATCCTTTAAATATAGGAGCAAGTTCAGATCGCCCATTGAGAGGTAAGAATAAAAAGTTTAGTGCACCCAAGTTTAGTATAATCTATATTTGTAATTTTATATCTCTAATATTTCTGAACTAGGAATTGAAAGACAATCTCTGTATGCTGACTCCATAACAATCAGCAGAAACAAAAGAAATCCCAGAAACAACGCAACTAAATCCAAACTAAATGAAAAAGAAAGTGGAAAGAATGTCAAACCGAGTAAAGAAGAAAAGAAAAAAAAGAAACCAAAAGGTCAAGAGAAAAACAAAAAAAGGAGACAACAACGGAGAGGAAAAGATGACAAAATAGAAAAAAAAGACGACGGAAAAAAAGGGGAAAAATTTCAAATAATATCAAAGAAAAGTAATAGTAATAACGACAAAAAGAATGACAGTGAAGAAAAGAAAAAAAAAGACAGAAAAAAGAAAAAGGAAAAAAAAATTAAGCAAGCGCATAAGGTCATAAAACTAGACCAGACAAGAACCCTCACTCGGCAAGTAGATGATACTTGCGTCAAGGTAAATCTTGATTGAGATAAATAAACTGAAAAAGAATAAAACACAGATAAATTTTTCAGGATCTGGCAACCTTAGCTTCAGTGGCCTCAAACCAAGCTAGAAATTTCTTCCAGCAAGCAAACAGAATCCTTGCAAATAATGACATTAAAACATCTAAGAGCGGGAAGAAAGGAAACTTCAAGGATCCTGTAAAAATTCTTATCAACAACCTTGGTGGAGATCCTGCCAACTTGACCTGTTCTGGGAAAGCTATCAGTAATGATACAGCCAAAGGTGTGTTTTTTTTAACTTTGCAGCCAATCAAAAATGGAAAAGCAGACAAAAATATTACTTGATTTATTTTAAGTTATCATGCAAAGATAGCCATAATATTACATGCCTGGCCTAATTGTGCAAATCATGGGCTTCAATTAATAGATAAGAAATACCCACTTATAAAAGTTTTGAATAATAATACCCATCAAGATTAAGTACAGGAACTCTTGCTAAATAATAATGCCAAATTGTTGTCCTTAAAATTAACATAACATAGATTTTATTTTCTATAGAAACAACAAAGACATTGGAGGAATGTGAGGCGAACATTACCAGTGCTTGTGTTGCCTCCCTCCCTGATGCCAACCTTACAATAGTTCAAGAATGCAAGACTGTCACAGATGATTTCAGGTTGGTAATAATTTTTAGTGACTTAAATATCCTCATAAATTGAAGTAACACATAAAACAAAGAATTTCATGTCTGATTCACAACCAGTATCAAAACATTTATCTGAGTACCAGTAAAAATAAATCGTTTTTTTCTGTATTGAAAATAGATAAATGTTGTCAATTTATTTTCTTGTTTCTGAAGTTTACATTCAGAAGTTAGTTAACATTGTGTTAGTTAATCTTTCAATATTGGTGCTAACAATGTTGTCCTTCAAGATTGTATCAGTAAACCTGAAAATCCAAAACATAAGTTTTAAATAATTTTTTATTTCTAATGATTGTTAAGCGTCTTTTAAGCTTTTTATGTTGAAGTTTACTATAGAAGAATCGTTGTTTAACAGAGAAATTACCTGTTTAGACAATTTTTATTTTTATTTTAACTTTCTTAATTGATTTAGAATATTTTTTTTCAATTTTGGACTTACAAAAAGGCATTTTTAAGTAATCATAAGAAAAGTAAAGAGACAATGAGTTTTATCCAACAACTTCAAGAAACTAGAAGAAAGAGGTTTTCTATTCACATATATAAATATTTGTTTGAAGAGTACCATCATAACTTGTTAGTGACACTCTTAGCTTCCCTAATTTAACTTAATTTGGGAGTCTCTATGACTCTATATATTTAGAAAACTATACATTGATCTGTTGGGAAAAAATCTACCAACTAAATCTGCTGCTGAGGTATAGATTTCAAATTGGTCTTAATCATTAAATTCCAGCCAAGGGTTATGATTTTCAAGAATTGAGAGTGAACATGAAAAATTGGACTTTAATAAAACTTAGCTCAAAGCCAAAACAAAGCATGGGGAAGATTTGATGTCATATGAAAATATTCAGAGATTTAAAATTAACCATCAAGTGTATGTGCAGATATGTCAAGCAACTAAGGATTCAACACTGACGACCTTAATGGATCAAGTGAGGAATTGTTCATTTCTAACCGACATTGATAAAGCTCAGAAAGAGGAACGTGGTGCTTGTGATACAGGTAGAAAACAAATTTTCGGACAAAGCCATGTTAAGATTAGTCATTTATAAATAAACATTTGACCATTCCGTAATAATTTTAAAGAAACCCAAATCATGTAACAATAAACCACCCATCCCCCCACCCCCCCCAAAAAAATGGGATTAAGACTTTGGAGCCATTACAATCCTCAAAAACGTCCACTAGTAAATAGCTTTTAATTTTGGAAGGGGATAGAAGTAGCTTTAGTCATTGGACTACAAAATGAAAAATGGAAACATTCAAACCTTCATTAGGCATAAAAGTGTTTGCCATTTAATGCCATGTAATAATTTAACCAATTTGTGGGGAGCCATGATGACTTAAACCTTTTTTAAGTCTCATAAAAATAATAACTTAAATCTGTATTACTAAATGACAATTTCTAACATTTTCATGTTAATTTTGTTTGTTATAGTTAACAGGAAATTTTTTTGAATATTTGACATAGTTTTACATCTAACAAAAGCACTGGACTTTAAAATTCATTAGTGCTGTTGTAAATCCCTGCACCAAGGTTCTAATAATATTTCTTCTAGCGTTTAAGAATTGCAGACAAGCAGAGAGAGATACAATAGCAACAATAAACAGATGTGCGACATGCCCAACTGCAGAAACCGCTGCATTGGAGAAAGCTGTCCTTGATAGGTGAGTAAGGACCAGTTTCAATAATAATAAGAATTAAGAAGCAATCTATCTACAATTCTTGGTATTATCATTCCCATCTAAGATATCTACCTGTTCCACATTTACTTTTCTTGTTATTACCATACCATCTATCTATTTAAACACTTTTAAAGTTTGGAAAATGCTTTTAACAAAACTGAGGTGGCTTTAGATGCGGCACTTAAGGCTACAGGACTAAATACAGGAGCTGGTTCTAATGGAACGGTAATATGGAACTTTAATAAAAAAATTTAATAATTTAAAAATGTTGTTTCAGAAAGTTTTAATTAGAAAATATAGTTCTAATTTAAACATTAACTATCATTAACTTTTATCAATTTTTTATGTGACCAAAAATCAAGCCTGGATTTTTGCATGAATGAATATTTTTTAAATATAAGACATAAAGGGCATATTCACTGTTCATGGTACTTCTTAACTTTTGAAAGTCAATAAAAGCCCTTTAACAACCCCATTGAGCAAACCTTTTTAAAACTTTTTTTTAATAAATTTATCATTTTGATAGCTCCCTGCTGATGCTCTAGCAGGTCTAGCAAACATAAGTACAGAAGGCGGCCTGCGTGATGGGTGTAAAGCTATTCTTCAAGGTAAATTTGCAATAATTTCCAAATAAATGAAGAAAATAATGAAGTTCTTCTTTTTGCAATTAAACAATGTCATGTCTTGAAACAATGAAACATAAATCCTTAGTAACAAAAAACCAAATGAAATTTAAAACTTGACAAAACTTTAAAATTCTTTTCAGGGTTCATTAATTTCAATAGATCTGCAGAAGCGTCTGGTTCTGACCCAAACAAGCCCCTAAATCAAGTAAATGCAGCTAAAGCAGCTGAAGCATTGAATACCATAATTTCAAGGTATTTAATTTCGGGAAAATTCAAAGTAATGATTTTGCTTCAAGGCAGAAGAAGTCAAGGTATTTCTAAGGGAAAAATTTAGCATTATGTATCATAGGTGGGACTTAAATGTAACGTTTTAAACTTGTTTTGGCGTATTTTTCACTAAAAAATTGTCCAATTTCTATAAACTAAGATGATGATAAATTGTAAAAAAGCAGACTTTTATTATAAAAATAAAATTTTTAGAACAACCCTTCTAGAAGATATAAGGTCATGCCCTCCTGAAACTATTCCTGGAACATATCCAAGAATAGTGGCTACCAGTTATGTAATTGTATACATTAGGTAGGGTTTATAACACTGATTTCTATCCACCAAATATTGGAAAATAATGCTTAATACTTTCATATTTTAGATTTTACATATTCTGGTGCATAAATTGGAGAAGAGTTGTTGTAATCATCAGAATTCAAGTCCTCATAAATAACTTTAACGTAACAACAACCACAACTCCACAAATAACAACTAGAGTGCCTTCTGGAAGATTACTTCAGAGAGACAAACTAATAAAATCTGTTTTCCTTAGAAAAAATTAGGACAACAGATGGATTGAACTATTCCTGAAAGAAGATCCACATTTGCCAAGCCACGGATTATAAGAATGCCAACAAGCTACATGCTTCCTAAAACTTAAAAATAACCTATTAAAAATGCTGACAAAAGACACACAAAAAAGTGCCAACACAAGACCTTGACTAAAGACTATAATTTAACATGTTTATTATATTTAAAGATATTTTCCATTATTCATATATGTACATGTATAAGTAAATAAAAGATACGCATTGCAATCTGTTACTATTTCTAAGATGGATATTAATTTTTTTAAATAACCAGAGAAATTAAGACACCCACCTCCCCCACCCCCTTCCCCCGAGTGAAAAGTCTACATACTTACAAGTTAACATCACATTCTAATTTTAATATCTTCAGAGCTGAACACTTTAGAATGGCGGATATTGAGATCAATGTTTGATCTCCTCTTTTTTAAAAGTTTAAAAAACTGTATTGGTATGCATCAGATTGTGGAAAGATCTATCTTTGATTAAAATGGAAACTAGCACAACTACCCATTATTATTCTTGGTATATATAGTCAAATATTTCGACAAAAGACGACCTCCTATCTTATTATTATCTGTGGATATTTGAGCTACAGGACCTAACTGTGTTGCCCAATGAGTTACGGGGTGGTCAGCTATGGCTACCAAATATGCATATTATCCGAATTATTGTTTTCTTCTGTAGATTCTACTGGAAATATATTTACCTTTGAATATTGAATAAATCAGTTTAGACTTAAAATATTTTGTAAACTTTGTTTTAAGGAAATGTAAGAGTTATTTTTACAAACCCTCCATGCAAAGATGGCAATGCACAATTCACAACGGCACATTTGAAAGCTTTATCTGATTCATCTGATCAACGTTTAACAAATAGAAAACTGATTGTTTTTAATTGTGGTTTCGCATTGCTACGACACGGAAATATTTAGAAATGCAATAAAATTAAACACACAAACCTAGAAAACGACAAAATCTTCCACATTATTGATCAAATAAAGGTTTTAAGGGTACTGTTGCAAATCGTGCATTGTCATCAAAGCATGGAGCTAGAGTCACTTGAATTAACGCCTCTAGTCCCTTTAAATAAGTTAATGTTTTCAAAGAAACTGTAGAAAATTTACCTGATCCGTTGTGAGGGGAGGAATACGTTTCATAAGAGCACATAAAGAATCTCTAACCATTGTCGAACTTGTTCTAGCAAAACAAACATTTTGTTTTTAGTTTATTTTCAAAATATATGAAACAAAACAAATATATCTTATCCCCGTTTAGATTTTAAAAAAATATTTATGAAAACAAAATATTAAACTTTAAAAGTAACTTGTTATACGTCACATTAATTGTACTTCAATTCGGATTAGAAATATCTATGAAACCTTATGATTGACACAACCATCTTCTCTATAAAATTGTAACCATAATATTTAGGCCAATTAAGGAAACATTTACCTATTCCCTATGAGATGTTTGTCATGAGCTGTAACGAAAAGGATCCAGGTAATCAGGTAGTCATAAGTTTTACAATCAAGCAAATTTTTCAATATCAAATTCTACCGAACATTTTGTATTTATTTATTTATTTTTTTATTTATTATGGCAACCCTAAACCCAATCACGCCCGTTAACACCTTCCTAGCTAAAAGATACAGAGCTGAAAACTTTAGAATGGTGGATATTGAGATTGATGCTTGATCCTCTGTTTTTCTTAATATCGAGACTAATCCAATCTTGTACTTTATCCTGAAAAGTGAATAAAATTCAACCAATCAGAGTCACGTATATGAAGCCAATAAGTTTGAAATTTTGCGCGCCATTTAAGAAACGGGAAGAACTCTCTAAATAAAAAAAGAACAGTTTAAGAAGAAAATCATAAGTGTGCCCATTGGATACTCAGATTAAGTAATTGGGATTTAGGATATTTCATTCTTAAGTTTTTTTTCTCAATCAAGAATATCCCCCCCCCCCCTCATCTTTATTCTTCAAGTCATCTTTGAATATAAATATGTTCCTTTATCAGCTTGAAGGTGTGGAGCATGGCATGAGGAGCTAAAGGAGGTCCTGGTTCAAGAACAGGAAATCTAAAAAATAATCTAATTGAAGCAGAGATCTAAAATTTTGGTTATCAACAGTTTTACAACACGCTGAGTCGGTCACCCTCCGCTTGGCGATAAAGTCTAATTCGGCTGTGACATCCAACCAATTTCTTAAATTCATTTCTGAAGGGACTGAAAGCGTAGTTTCAAGTTAACTTTCATTAGCAGATTTACAACGATACCCTTAAAACCTTTGTTTGATCAAGGTTTTCATAGATATTCTTATTTATTAGTGAGAAATTAAGTGCTAAGAAACCACGCGAGTGTACACTGTACAGTGTACACTGTAACCTCGAGTCTCCGTCCACTCAATCTTCAGCTTTACGAGAGTCACTTAAGATTACCCTTATAGTCCCTTTAGCGATCTCTTGGGAGGGGAGAGGGGGGATTTCCAGCTGAGTTGATGTGGTTGACCAGTATCTCAACCAAAAATATTATCTTTATATTTCTTTCCGAAATAAACCTTTGCTATTTGGTAAAACCTATATAATAAAGCTCATTGCTCATATATATATATATATATTTGTCAGCTATAGCTGACCAAACGGCTGGACCGAATGGTGTGAAATTTTTTTTCTTGATTTTTTTTTTAATAAAAGATTTGTCAAAATTCAAGAATTTTTTTCAAAATTTTTAATTTTTTTTGATTCCACGTGCAACGCCGGCCACTCCAGCTAGTTGTTTAATAAATCAACTCACCTGAATGCTGGACTTAGGAGGAGTTTTCTTAAAATGTTCCTGGTAAAACTTGGGATTGAAAATTAGTTTTGGGTCAGCTCTTTAGTTGGTTAAAACCAGGATTATCTTGTTCAGGTTCAGCTTCCAGCTGTACCCGTAGTTCAGGAGGAGGTCGGAGATACATTTCTCTACAATAAAACTCAAATCAAAACACTCTAATTTTTATAAAAGGAAAAGGTCGAATTTTTGCTAATTTACAGGAATGACTTTGAGACCTCGTATCCTCTCTACTTTTGATACTACAATCGAGTAGTCTTACATGATTTTTAATTTATTACCTATAATCAACCTATCACAGTCGTCTGCAAGTACGGAATATGAATAAAACAAATAGTCCAGAACTATTTGGTATTCAGTTAAAAATATGTTTTATCATTATTATTTCTGTTGATATTATTATTTAAATGTTCAATACCAAATCAAAACAATTATTGAAAATATAAACCTCTGCCATCATATCTACATAGGATTTAGAGAAAATATAAACCCCTGGTATAATAACTAGATAGAATTTGGAGAAAATATAAACACCTGACATCATAACTAGATAGAATTCGGAGAAAATATAAACCCCTGGCATAATAACTGGATAGGATTCGGAGAAAATATAAACCCCTGGCATAATAACTGGATAGGATTCGGAGAAAATATAAACCCCTGGCATAATAACTGGATAGAATACGGAGAAAATATAAACCCCTGGCATAATAACTGGATAGGATTCCGAGAAAATATAAACCCCTGGCATAATAACTGGATAGAATACGGAGAAAATATAAACCCCTGGCATAATAACTGGATAGAATACAGAGAAAATATAAAACCCTGGCATAATAACTGGATAGGATTCGGAGAAAATATAAAACCCTGGCATTATAACTGGATAGGATTCGGAGAAAATATTTTGGCATTGAAACATAATTGACCTAACATAATGGACTGAACGGACTTACATTGAACTTATAATTGTGGGTCTTTTATTTCTTGAACTTGACGATCTTTAATTAGATTAGAAAATGTAATTTCATTAAATGACGATAAAAAGTAAGACAACTCATGTTCATTGTATTTTACTTTGATCTGAATAGACCTGATTTTTGATGAGTAAACTACTAGCTGAGGTAGCCTGGAGGGACTCTGCAAATACAACAGGATCCTAATATTTTAAAATAAGTTTATTTTGATGAGTAATAAAATTAGATTGTAACGTCATCAGATTAATTGTAAATTAATTCCAGGTCTTTCTGATTAGGACTGCAGTATACAAAAATTAAGAATTTTTTCGTTTTCCAAAAATGGTTCAGACCCAGCATTTTTTCAAAATCAGAGATCACTAAGAAAGTCAATTTTTCAGTTTTATCAAAACAAGTCTATATGGCGTTCTAAGTTGTGCTTCGAACCATACATTTGAAATTTAAAGACTGTTTGATATAGAGTCTAGTTTTTTTGAGTCTTTGACACAAACACAGATCTTCTAACCCCTACAATCTACATCTTTGCAACCCAATGCCGTAAACCTTAGTTTCATCCATTTTTATACATTTTGAAAAAAATATTTTCGCTTGTAATAGTGAATCTATCTTCACAAAAACGTGATGCAGCAAATGAATTTGTAAGTAAAAAGATGAAAAATACTCTTTGTTTACAAACTTTAAAGATCCGTTCTAAAAAGGATTTTAATATTTTTATTAAGAAAGTTGCAATTGGTCCAACCCTTATATGTTTATTCTGGGTGTTCTCGTATCTGCCAATGGTAAGCTTTATTCTGATTTTTGACACTGCATTTATTCATATCTAACGAAAATGCCCAGTCAACAATAGATAGGAGATAAAGTTGCAAACTTTTGGTTTTTAAAATCTTTATAATTTATATAGATTATATAATTAATAAGTATTGAAGTTTCATTTTAATTGAATGAGAAAATAACAACTAAAAATATTCTCATTTCAACGAGAAAATGGCGATCAAGATTTTTTAAAATTTTGCTTTAACATATGCAGACAGAGAAACAAGAGCTTTAACTTTAACTAAACCCCATATCTATTCGGTTAAAGTACTTCAGATCACTGCAGTACACACCGACAGCTTTGTTTAGACACAGACTATCACAGACTTCTTATCTCCTATCACAGGGTGGGCTACGTAGGCCTAAGTTTACCCGGCACGACCAGCTACGTCTTTACGATAGGTTTTCAGAGTGCCATCTCACGGCCACTTGTTGAATATAATACCCATTCAGGGGTTAAGTTTTACAATTTTTAAAGAAATACTCCGATTTTAAACATGAAATATAACATTTATGAATTCAGTCTTTTTTTGAAGATTTTGTGTTTCGTATCCAAAGGATACTTAAATATCTCTGAAAACAGATGTTTGCTGATTGGTCGTGTACAGTAATTGTACACAATAGAACATGCTGTGGAAAATTTCGCATATTTTAGCTGATAATCGATATCTGTAACTCTGCTTTAGAGTGATCATGATATATAATAGAATGGGTGTATCATAGACAAGTTATGCTCTGTTGTTCTCGGTGGGGTGTCATGCAGTACATTAGACATTGGATCATTTAATTTAGAACAAAAAATTATGAAATCTTTGTTGATTAAATATTAAGAATTTCAGGGAAATTTTCGGAGCATTCAAAAGTTCCCTTCTCTTAACATCTAACTGAACGTTGTCCAACTCTGAAGATTAGTGGAAAAATTCTTTGAATCTCTGTCTGCAGAATTCCGTAGTTTGCACACTTTTGGTCATTGTATAAGTAAGTACACGTACACGTGAACATTTTCACGTGAAAACACTTCATGATCAATTAATTCTAATGCCGCAATTGACCGCAGTTTTATATGAGTAGGGAACACCTATCAAGTAAAACTAATGTAAATGATTTGTATCTTATATGTATGTTTTCAATCATAACTCTTCTCAATAATGAGGTATAATGTGTAATCGCATACTTATGCCAAGCAAATCTGTACCTTTGGTAAAAGTAAATTCAACCTATATGAAGCATAAAGTCTGACCGCGTCAACCTCATTGCACCGGCTAGTCCTGTCCATAGAGCAAGGTACAGTACAAACTGGGACCGGAAAGGTTGACCCGGCTCGGAAATTCAAATGTACTACGGCTGCCCGTGATGCGTACAATCAAAGCTAAATGTGCAAGGTCCGAAAGTCGTTACTATATATGACCTAACAAATTTGACCTGTACCCTCTGGCTAGTTCAGTGTACCAGGAACTTATTATTAAATTACAAGTCCTGAGGCAGAATTTAAAGAATTTAAGCCGCGGCTCAAACATCGTTGGTTTGACATAAAATTATATTCAATGTATCAAGAATCAAGATTTCAGCCGGTGCTCAGTTGAAACCGGGTTTTTGGCGGATTTAAGACGATTCGGACACTGGTTAACAGTCATTGAGCATTATATTTGGAACCCGTTAAAGGGGCTGTAAAGGAAAAATGAAAGGGGGTATAGGATGAAACCTGAGAATCTCAGGCGTTAAACGATACATTTATAAGACTTCTATCTGATGTTCCTGTCTCGAGAAATTGATATAAAACTTTATAAAATTTATACGAAAATTCATATTTTGTAATTTTGAATAAAAGTTGTAGTATTAAACAGATCATATTCAACAAATACGAAACCAATCTGAAAACGACGATTTCCCACAGGAGCTGAGAATCTCAGGTTTGCTCCTATTATAAATTTTTAATTTTGATTTTGCATTTTGAATAGATATAATTGATAATATTATTACATATAGTCCGTGTTACGTAACAATAACTATTTAAACGTATTTTAAACTAGAGATCAAAATATGACAGAAAATATTACGATACAGACAGGATGTACTTTGTTCTTTGTTATTGTTAGTTTCACGTGAATGATGCATGGTGTTTATGTAATGAATTTTGATCGATTTTCACACAAAAAAAATCATTTTTTAAATCATGAAACAAAAACCTTTTAAATCGAGGACCGAAAAAACCCCAGTTTTGTTTCGATGTACTCTATTAAGTTGTCTGCTCTAACAATAATCCGGAGAGAATGTTCAAAGGAAAGGAATGTAGAGTAATGTATACTCCTGGACGAGTCGGATCCAATAAAATGCAAAAATTGGGAAAATTATTACTTTGCATTTTGCCATGAAATTTGTTTAGACATTAAAATAAATTGTAAAAAATAGTAGTATGAAGAAGTTTTCTACCCATAAAAAAAGCAAAAAACACCCTCTTAATGGAAGTTGTCTGTATAGATAATACATGGATTCAGACTCACTATGGTTTTAGTAGAAGTAAATATTTCCATTTACTGATAGCACCGATTGAAGGATTCATAAATCTAATTGAATAATGAGATAGATAGAAAGATAGATGTTACCGCCATACTATTTCTATTAATTCCGAATAGACAACAAACACATGACTGAATCCTGATTGGATCAGGCGCTAATGGACTTTGTAAGCAGGAGTGGACTGCTCTGAAAAGTACAAGTTTCAAGACTGGATCGAGATTTAAGTGTTGCTTCGCCTTGGCCTTTGATTTCACCTCACTAGTTCACTTTCTTTTGTAGCCCTAGACATGTTGATTTTAGAACTATAAAGCAATGTGTTTTTTAATAATTAACTGGCAAAATTCTTATAACTTTTGGCGGAAGACCTCGGAACCTTAGGATCTTTGTGATTTTTGTTCTTAATAAAATAAATTGGTTGTTACAGTGAGAGCCAGAAAATAGTTGCAAAAATTAGAAATTACAAATTCCTTATATACTACTTTTTTCAAATAAACGTAATTTCAAGTGACCCTCCATGCATAGATGACAATGCCCGATTCACAATGATACTATTTAAAGCTTTGTCTTTTCTAGTATGATTTAGATATCAATGTTTATAATTCTAAAAAATTATCATATTCAATTGTGGGTTCTCCACAAATGTGGCTAGCGCATTTCTACCGCAGAAAACCACATGAGAAATTTCATAATTTATCACATTTAAACTTAGAAAAAATGACAATATCTTCCACATTATTGATCAGATAAAGGTTTCAAGGACTGTGAATCGGACATTGTCATATTTGCATGAAGGGCCACTTGAAATTACGCTTACAGTCCCTTAAAATAAATAATAAAGTAGATTATATATTTTATCCAACATTGTTGAAGTAAAATATAAAAGAATTTCTAAACTAAAAACACAGAAAAGATTTTATTTTACGACTGAAAGGGGAAATGTTTTTATATAATCAAGAAACTGTGAACCCACTGTGTGGCAGATTAATAGTTTCTTTTTTTATTTTCTCAATCTTAAAAATTAATTAAATAAATAGATACTTTTGTTTGTCATATC